AAAAAAAAAAAAAAAAAAAAAAGGCTTGGTTTATTTTTAAATTAATTGACTAGTAATATGGATACAACCCTTTTTGCTTCTCCTCAATGGCTTTTACAGCTCAATGTCTTCTACGGTTTTTTCGTCTTTACATTATTATTACTATTATTACTGTATATCATCTTAGTTGCACAATGGAACGAAAAAAGCCTTATCACTCATTCAGGTTCTGTGGTCCAATATTTACTTAGTGGTCAACCACAACTATGAGATCTGGAATTCCCAGGGAATTTCCCATTCTAATATAAAGCAGATACAGGAAAGCTTAGCTTCCAAAAATGAACAAGATCACATGCAGTAAGTCCACAGAACTACAGGTCATTGCTTCTGTTGTTTGGTAACCTGATACTTCATGGTGGTGACATCATTACCATAATATTCCCTTTGAGAAATCTCAGTAGTGACTTCAAGTTTATTTTGAACTTTGGTAAATTTAATGCTATCATTCTTTGGTAGTATATATGATGACGTATTTCCAAAGGATGATTACCTTTGGCTTTGCAGGATTATGGATTTTCTCTCTTTTTTTTTTTTCATGTGAGAAATAAAGTTAGGTCCTTCAAGAGTATTTTGCAGGTTAGTATCTGTGCAATGCTGCTGCACAATTCAAACTGACAATGTAATAAACTGACCCGGGTATATATATCTGTCATGGTCGCCAAGTAGGTTGGCCTTTCCAAAACCTTTTTCCAGTCCTGAGAAACCCTTTCATGTTTCCACTTTTTCTGGAGGTTACTAGAGCTGTGCGAAATTTCATCGGCAGTTTCATTTCAATGCTGTTTCGACTCATTTCGAGCTTGAAACAGTGAAATCAAAACAAAACAGAGAGCTTTGAAACGAAATGAGGCAAGTCAAAACATTTAAAGATTTTCAAAACGTTTCAAGTTTTGAAGCTCAAGCTGGGTTTGCCTGCAGGGAAACAGAAACTAAAGTAAGGAACGGGAGGGGGAAGAGCGGGGAAGGAGTGCTCTCATTATTGACTGTGTAGCTGGCCAGTGACTGTCATCCTTTCCCGAGGTCCCTTCCAATCCCACTGCTCTGGGGCTGGGATGGAAAAACCGCATAAAAAGCAGCATTGTTTCAACTGCCCTGCTTTCTGCCTTGGTGTCAGTTACTGAGCTGTGTACCAGTTTTGCCTGTCAGCAGCTAGGGGTGCCTGCACCAATCTCCTCGACAGCTGGCAAGCTTTGTGGCCTCAGCAGGGGCCACAATCCCTGCAGCTTCCACCCTGCTGCGCCTTAACACACACAGGGTCACCCATGTCATGAGTTTTGCTTGTCCGCAGCTTGAGATGCAGCTTCCCCAAAACCCCTGCACCTGTCTCCTTGAAACTTGGCAGGCATTGTGGCCTCAGCGGGGCTAGCATGTCTGCAGTTTTGACCCCACTGTGGCTTAACACATACATGTGACATGAGTTTTGCTTTCAAGACTTTGAGGTGCAGTTTCCCTGAAACCCCTGCACCTATCTCCTTGAAGTTTAGCAGGCTTTATGCCCTCAGAAGGGGCTACTATGTCTGCAAGTTTCATTCAAATCAGGCCAGAAATGACAAAGTTATAGGCTGTTTTGAGCTTTCCCTTTATAGCCTATGGGTGAAACAGCAAAGCTGTTTTGACAAAATGAAGCAGAACAGCAGTTTTGAATCTAAACCAAATTCAAAATGCAACACTGTTCCGTCGAAATGTCAAAATGCAAGTCAAAACAGAACGGTGCCATTTCGCACAGCCCTAGAGGTTACATCTATATCCAGCCACTCCCTGAAAGTCTCTGGGTTGTATCGTAACTTGAGTTACCAACCCTTCTGCTGAAGAGTAGTTCCCAACCTCAAGGTACCCCTCAGGAACTTGTCCGAATTTAGTGGCACCCCAGTTGAGAACCACGGTTGTATTGCCTCGGATGAAGTGGTCCTCAACTAGGTTGCTGCCACTGCTGTAACGAAGTGAAAGTGCTTGGCATGCCTTTTGCAAAGTCAGATCAGGAAGCAGATGCAGCAGGAGCTGGCATTAGGGTTATCAGATAAAGGTTTATGAAGCAGCCTTAGGGCAGTCAGGAGTGCCTGTTTCTGCTACAGTTGTTTCCTGATCTGGCTCCACAAGAGGCATGCCTGGCACTTTCACCACGTTACAGACGGGCAAGCTGTGGCATCGCTGAAAGCTGCACATTGGTTAGGAACTACTGCTTAATATGTTTAAAGGCACCTGCAAGAGCCTTGGACCAGTAATAGTGTGCATCAAGAGAAAACCAGTGTCTCCAAAATGAACTAGGATTTATTTGCTAAAAGGTACCTGGCTTTCAGGGAACTGGATGTAAACCAAACTAAACTCTTGCTCTTACCACACCCTGACTTTCAGGTAATCTATTGGCATGAAGCTGAAGGCTTGCCCCTCCCTTTCTTCTACAGAGCATATTTTTAGCTGATCAGTGTCCTCTGAACTCTAGGTTCTCAGCCTGAGTGGAAGAGCCATATAAACAGGGCCAGGCCCTAGGTCTTGCCTTTTTTTAGCTACTAGCCTAACTACTGCATTGCACTATGTATTGGGAAGTTTCTTTTCATTGTTTTGGCCCTTCCTGTGTAGTTTCTGTAGTTCCTATAACAGCTCCCTTCTGATCTAATTCTGTAGCAAGTAACATAGCATAAGCACAAGTGTACCAACTATTTATAAGGAATACAGAAATGTCCTAGTTCCCAGCAGTAACACATTCCGCTTCCAGACTGAATCAGTTAAAGTTCAGTACATAGATTAGGGAAGGAAAAAGTCCCTAAACCAGTGGTTCTCAACCTTTCAGGTGTGTTGTGGCATGGGTGCCTTGCATACCTCATGCACAGCCAGATAAGCCTAAAGTAGGCAGAAGTACCTCATCCTGCTGCAGTCCTTCCTGGTATGACCTCCCACATGCCTTATGGAAGCAGAGGCATCAGGGCAGGTGGAACTATCCTGCATGCTTCTGTTTCTAGGAGGAGTAGGACCTGGGCTGTGGGTGTAGGGGGTGATTAGAAAGTGCTGCAGCAAGACTGGGCACTCCTTTCTGCTTTAGACTTACCTGGCTGAGTACAGGGCATGCTGGGTAATTTCACTTGGCTGTGGCAGTCATGCTGGTGGCTGTAGCTCAGTTGAGAAGCACTGGAGTACGCTGAAGCAGCACAGTGGTGCTTCTCAACTGGGATACTGCCAAACTAGTCATGGAGAAGTGCCCTGAATCTAAAAAGGTGAAGAACCACTGCCCCAAACCAACACCTTTAGTATTAATGCATGGACGCTCTCTGACATATTTTATTACTATATTAGTAAACCCAGCCTAGCCCAAGTATGTGGGAGCTACAATAACTATCCTTAACACCTTGCTAGGGATATCAGAATGCCAAAGAAATTACTTCCAAAGTCATTTTTCCATTCTGTATGTAACCCGGGCAGTACTCCAAGATGTACCCCCTCTCCAATTGAAGGGATCAAAGCAGGTGCACGAGCGCTGTGGGAGGTATAGGGACTCTCCTCCCCCTATAGAGCAGAGCCAGACCACCAATGGGGACTTAACCATATACCTTTTACTACTGGGAACATAACAGGCATAAATCAGAGGGTATAGTGGACACTACAGTGCCCCAAGGGGGCAGGATTCAACAAAGGTTAGACACCTATAATCATTGACAAAAAACAGGGTTAACAAAATATAACACACAAACAGCAGAACAAACAATACGGGTTGGTGAAATATAAAAAAGCACAAAATGCAAAATGTCACATGAGAAGGAAATATAGGGCCTTGGTACCTGGAGGGGGTGAAAGGGGCAAAAACACAATGGTTCCTTTCTACTACAAGAAGATTTGCTTCTTGTTATCTCACTCACCTCAGCTGGGATGTGAACACAGATCTCCCATATGGTAGCCAGGAATGCTACCACACAGCTACCACTGGTGGCACTATGCTAGCCTGCTAGGGGTCTTGACCTTCCCGGAGCCCCGGCCTCACATCAAACTGCCTGGTCTCTGATTAGAGAAGCTGGAAGCAGAGCTGGGAATCTCTCAGGTCACTGCTCAGATCCTTCCTGGAGCGGGGGGAGACTCTCCTGCTGTCTGCAGCTTCTCATAGGGAATCCTGGAGCCCAGTGGGGAGCCTCTCCTGCCGGCCACACACCACACTGCTGAGGGTCCCACTGCTGCCTGCAGGTCCTGCTCTTTCAGGCTCTTCTGGGGCACTGCTCCTACCCCGCTGGCTCAGCTCTTGCCAGCTCTGTGAAGCTCCTTCCTTGTTGCCCCTCGCTGATCTCTCCCCTGAGTCAGCCCCACGCTGCCCCTTTTATCCCCCTCCAGGTGACCCAAGGGGCCAATTGGGACATGGGGGGGGTGAGTCTCTGGGGCCTGATTGGTATGGAAAGGGAATCCCAAGTCCTCCAATCATCTTTTGCCCTTTCAAAAGCCCTGGGCTAGGTCACTGCCAGCTAGCCCATCATATCCTCCCCTACAGAACCCATCACCATCCCTGGTGAAGCACAGGCCTCAGCCTGGGTTACTACTGGACCCAAGGGGCAGCGATGGGGACTTCCCCCAGTACCCCTGGGGCATCGTAGGTGAAGAGACGGACTGGCCAAAGCTCCCGCCTTGGTCGTGGGGTGTGGTCTGGGGCAGGACTCCATGAGAGCCCCGGCGGCTCAGGTTCCCTCTCACTGGAGGAGTCTGCCCCACTGGCAGGTAAAGGCGTGGGGATGTTTTCTCCTTCGGTCTCGCCAGGCGGGGCCCCATGAGCAGCAGTCCTCATCTCTCCTTCGCCCTGAGGAGTGGCAGGTCCTAAGCTCGGGTGAAAGTCAGCAGGGTACCACTCGTCAGAGTCCTCTGGGGGAGCTGCAGGTACAACTGCCGGCTGGGTGGCGCGAGGCCTCCTTCTACAGGGAGACCTAGGCCTCTCTTCTCACGGCTCTCTCCCAGGCGGAGGGGGCCCCACCAATTCGCCAATAGGCAGCAGGAGGTTCCGGTGGACCATGCAACTTCGACCTGGTCCAGACTCAGGGGAGATTTCGTATACTGGGAGGTCTCCCAGTTGTCGCACCACTGTATAGGGTTCAGTCCACCACTGATCAGCCATTTTGTGTCTCCCAGTTAGCCCCAGGTTTCGCAGCAGCACCCGGTCTCCTTCTTGTAACCCCTGCTCACACACTCGAGCATCATAAAGCCGCTTATGACATTGCTGGTTTCTTCCAGCAGTTTCGGCTGCCAGTCAGTACACACGATGGAGATGGTCCTGAAGCTGTTGTGCATACTGACCATGAGTCAAATGTTGTTGGTAGACTCCTTCTACCCCAAAACACAAATCTATGCATAACCAGGGCTCCCTCCCGAACATGAGTAAATACAGACTGACCCTTGTCACATCATTCCTAGTGGAGTTGTAGGTATGCACCAGGTATGCGATATGCTGGCTCCATGCAGCCTTCCATTCCTGCTGGAGGGTACCCAGCATATTCAAGAGAGTACGACTGAAGCGCTCGGGTTGGGGATCCCCTTGGGGGTGGTGGGGTGTAGTCCTTGATTTCTGTATGCCAGCCACTGTCAGTACTTCATGCAACAACCGGCTCTCAAAATCTCGCCCTTGATTGGAGTGGATTCTTGCGGGCAGCCCAAAGTACAGAGAAGTACTTTTCCCACAGTACTTTGGCAACTGTTCTTGCTGTTTGATCTCACGTAGGGAAGGCCTGGGCATATCGGGTGAAGTGGTCTGTCACAACCAGCACATTTCTCTTTCAGTGCCCCTCCCCTTCTATGGCTAGGAAATCCATGCACACGAGCTCCATGGGTTTTGAGCTCTGGATGGTGTGTAGATAGGCAGTTTGAGTGAGCAGGGTCTTCCTCTGCACACTGATCACAGTTTGAGCATTTAGTCCTTACGTCTTCAGCCATTTTGGGCCAAAAGAACCACTCACAGGCTAGTGCCAGGGTGCGTTCCACCCCCATGTGCACAAAGTCATCATGCAAGGCCCGTAACGCAAGGCCAGCTAGCCCATCACATGTATTTAGCTAATAACTTACCTGTTTTCCTGCATTTGGGTTCCGAAGTATCAGAGTGATTTTCTGCAGTGCCTAAGAATTCTAAAAATAAGAAACATTATTGTTAATGATATAAGATGAGGCAAGTTGGATAATCTAAGGTGGGTGTGTCTACATGTGCAATTAATGCACAGAAAGCTTGCTGCACAGTCAAATACTGTGCAGTAAACTTTCCATGAGAGCACATCTACAAGTGCACCTGTCAGGAGCAAATTTGCTCCCAACTGGAGCAGTTCAGGGCTTCTCTCCTACTATATGACAGCCAGAGAGAGCTCTAGGCTCCCCCAAGTGCCAGCCCCAGGCTCGCAGGGGACACTAGGGTCAGGCCTGGACTCCAGAGTGTGGGGGAACAGCCCCGTGCCCTTATCGTCTGAATAGGGTAGGGGGCTAGAAAACAGTTGAGGAGGAAGGAACACTTCTCCAGCCCCTTGTCCTGATCAGTCCCGCCCAGCCAAGGGCTTGCTGCCAGCTGTTCCACCAGCACGGTTACATGGTGACGCTTTACTGCACAGATTAGTCTACTGTGCAGTAAAGTGTCTCATGTAGACACACCCAGTTTCTCTTACTGGTACCTAATTTATGCATTTTAAAATATGATGAGGAGTTAAGAGAAGGCTGAGGAGGGGATTTCAAAACAGGAAAAAGAGTATTGAGATAGACTTTTCCTTGTGGCCCAAGGGGACAGGACTAGGAGCACTAGCTTCAAGCTGCAGCAGAGGATACTTAGGTTGGAAAAACTTCCTATGAGGGAGGGTCAAGCACTGGAAGAGGCTACCAGGAGAAGCTGTAGAATCTTCATCCCTGGAAGTTTTCAAGAGCAGGTTAAATGAACACTTGACTGGACTGGTTTATAGTTACGGATGCTTCTGCCTGGGGCTGAACTAGATGACCTCTAGTTGAGGTCCTTTCTGGTCCTACTTTCCCATGAAACTCTGAAGCATAACTCAAGGCATGCAACCCTCTACAGAAAATTGGAGCACAGTCTTTTAGCAGCTATGCATATAGCCATGTGATAGACTACAAACAGAGGCAGTTTCCGGTTAGTGCAGAACTGTAGGTTTCTTGTTTTATAAATATAGAAGTTCTTCACTAAGCTGCACATTTTTATCTCAGTGACCTATGGTTTCTTTGGGTTTTTAAAGGGAATAATGAAACTAAGAATTCCTTAGGGGAAATTAAATACACCAAAAACACCACTTCAACTTTGATACACTGGAGCAAAGGAACATAAGGGATGGTAAAACTCCTACAAGTTGGAGTCATGCTATAGGACAATAAACCTTCCAAATGCATATCAGAGGCAGAACAAACAAGTTCACCTTATGTTTAAGTGGGCATGATGCCCTTGGATTTGGGTATTTGGACCAATAGGTACAGCGACGAGTCTTTAAAAACAAAAGTTCTAACTGCTACAGCTTTCTATGCAAATTGTTCCCCAGCGACATTCTTTTTGTTTCACTTACTTCGTTTATGACATTTTTGCATCTTGCAATCTGTAAATCTCTCTGTGCTTTCAGTGGCCATTTCATCAAAGACGAGGTTTCCTGCTAAACACAGAAAAACAAGCAACTGCCACATTTGAATAATCCTGGTTCTCAAACACAGTGTACATGCCAAAGCTAAATTTGAACACTAAAATGCAGAACAAGTGGATTCAAAAAGTGTCTTGTTGGGCAGTAAAGATGTGGGAAAAATGTAAACCAAGTGTGTATTCAAACCTGCACAATATGAAAAGCTCAAGGAAATTTGAAATCAGTTTTTACAACATCATGTGGGCTTAGACTACAAGAGATAATCATAGTCGTCACATATTGAAGAGCCTACTTAAACTGAAATGCATTCCTATGGAGTCTAGTGTCCAGTGGAGAAGACTGAAAATCACAATGCTTGGATTTCATTTCCAGAGCAGGTCTGATTGATCTGTGACCTCAGCCTTAAGCAAGTAATGGAATTTAGAACTCAATTTTAGATCCAAAAAAAGATTGGTGTCTTCTTTAGAAAGACTAAAGAATAGTAAACAGATAGTTTCCAAGTGAGAATTGATGAGTTACCTAGTGTCTTACCATGATCTAGATGTATTCAAATACAAGTATTGTGAACAATCTTGTTTCCTCTGAAGTTAATATAAATTTTCCCATGAACTAATAAATAAAAAGTAAAGCCTCAAATGCACTGAGACTAGACAAAATTTCATTATGAATCTTTAAAGTAGAAATAAAAAGTTACTAAATATGAATTGTCTCAATTACATGGCTGCATCTCAACACTTTCATAGACAGAGCAGAAGTCTGACAACCTGGATTCTATTCTTGACCTGCTGTGCTACCCTGGATAAGGCACTTTTGGGCCTCAGTTTCCCTATGTATAAAGTGGGAATGTGTGACCTCTGTAAAGGTCTTTGGATTTAAGGATTAAAAATACTACATTTGTACCAGCAGAGACTGTTTATGAACTTACTCCATAGTATAAAATGCTAAACAGTTTCTGTGGTTGTCTCCTGAAAACGGAGAACCCCTCCTGGAAGCAAACAGTGCTTCTACGAAGAAAGTGAATCTTTGCCTGCCATGTAATAAACTTACCAAACGTGTCTTCCATCTGCCTCTCCTGTGCATCTTTGAGCACATATTCCGCTAAACCAGCTGGCCAGAAGGACAACAGAGCACAATGAGATGGGAAATTTTACATCAGAAAACTATTGTAGATTACTCTCATAAACCATATTACAGTTTCACAGGAATTATAAACCTTAAATTAATGTTGCTTATTTAGTAAGCTCAGCATTCAAGCAATACAAAGCACTAGAAAATAGGGAAGTTAAAAAAGGAAATGTCAAGCAGGAAATAGTTATTACTGAACATGTATTTTTCCATATCAACCAAAATCTCTGGTATATTCAAGGATGACAGTTTCTCCTGCAGGATGCACAAATTTCATGTAACATTACTGGACTTGTACATGTGAGCAGACAGCTCTATTATTTAAAAGCATTATTATTTAGCATTGTCCACAGCAATTTGCTCCTGCAATGGGAGCGTATGACTATATGCATTTCAGGTACACTTATTGATAAGCCTGCATTGGAAAGCCACATAACTATTTCACAAGGACTTGAAATAAAAATGAAATCTGTTGGCTGGTCTTACAGCACTGATACGTGCCAGCACTCATAACTGACTGCTCACTTAACCAGCATTATTAACAGGACTAGTGGTTAAGCCCTTGTGAGATCAATTCTGTTCCCGTTAAGACAACAAAATCTATTACTTTTACTGAGAGTGGGAATTGTCTCTAAGAACCCATATTCATTGAAAAAGTTAATTATAATAATCATACATATATGCACATTAATACTAAGGTGCTGGACACAATTGCCACATCATATGATTAGTGATAAGCGTACTATATTTCTAGTTTTTTATATTGAAGATTTGTAGCAAGTTTTAGGCAAGGTAAGTGATTTGATTATTTTAGGGGTGTTTATTAGAGTAGGTTTTACTAAAGATATTAGATATTAAATTATGATAGTGTTGAAATGATGTTGCAGCCATGATGGTGCAGGAGATATGCAAGAGGCAAGAATTTTTGTGGGTGATATCTTTTATTAGCCTGACTGGATGTGTGTCTGCTTCTCCACCAGAGACCTGAGGAAGAGTACTGTGATACTTGAAAGCTTGTCTAAGTCTATCCCAACCATTCAGTTTGGTCCAATAAAATATATCATCATCCCACATATAATTCTTGCCTCTTGTATAGACTAAAATCATGTATGGCTGCTTGCAGACATTAAAAAAATATCCCCAAAATGGAGTTTTACTTTAAACTCGGCTCATTCCCACGCTGTCCAGTGCATGCCCAGAAGGGGCAGTTCATTATGTATGGATCAGGCACTTCAGTGGGGTTTTTTTGGCCCTTTTATCTAATAGCTGATTGAATCAGCTATTAGATAGAAGGGCCAACGCCCCCCCCCGCCCAACTGAAGCACCTGATCTATATAGATGCTGAAGAGCTGGGTCAAACTAACACATTGCTTCTTCTGCTAAAGCATGTGTGCACATATGTGTGTGTTTAATGTCTGCAAACAGTCATAATTGTCAAAATGCTAACTCCATTAGACAAAAAAAAGACTGAAGTTAGCCTGACCTTACTGTAAAGGTTAAGTAGCAAGAAACCAATACTCCAAGAAAGCAGAAAATAACATTAAAAGCCAACATACCACACCACAAAAAAAATCTCATACCTATTCTAGCATAAGCTTCTCTTGTGTTTGAACAGATATATAATTCTTCCCCACTCTCACTGTTTTCCATTGTATAAAATATATCCAAATTGTTGAACTGATCATGGTTGATGGTGTCAATTTCAGGATCTAAATTAAAAAGAAGTTAAAATTGGTTGTGAATGACATTGTCATGGAGAAATGGAGAAGGCAGAACAAGTTGAAAGACAGAATTAGTAATTCTTCATGAATCATTCATTCTGTATTGAGCTTTTCAAAACTCTTTGGTTCACTAGTGGTCGGTGTGGTAGACCTATCTGATGACTTGGATCGGGGCCATTTAGCCCACTAGTTTACTGTGGGCTGCCACTGTTGGGCAGCGATGGGATCCAAGCCTTCAGCTGATTCCAGGGTACAAAAAATGACAAAAAAGGAGTGTCAGTGAGGTCAGAGGGTTAAAATTAGTGCACCCTTGGAGGACACCAAACAGAGCATGCCAGCCAGCATCCACCGACTCTCAAAGGCAGCCAGAGGCTACTGCCCAGTGGTACTCTGCTTGAATGCAGGAACAGAGCAGGCCCAGGAAAAAGGCCCCACAGTCCCCGGGCACCCTCCTGGCCAGAGCCTCCATCCTGGTGAGCCAGATGGCTAGCTTGGCCAGGGCCAGGAGGAGGTTGACCAGGAGGTCCAGGGCCTTGTTGGGCCATGGATGGGGAGTGTGAAAAGAAACTTGTGTGGGGAAAAGTGCAGCCAGAACCTCAGCAGGAGGTTCTGGAGGAGGAGGTCAGTGTGGTTGAGGCGATCATCTTTATTAGACCAACTAGACCGTTGCAAAAAAATTTGGTTCACTAATAACTTAACCAATACTTACTCATTACATAGGAATAGAAACTAGTTAAAGCTAAAAAAACTGACCATGACATGTGAAATTATTGAACACGTTTTTTTTTTACAACGGTGACAATCAGGCGTATGAGTAAACAGAATATCACTGTTATAAGTAAGGATGGGTTCACATTGCATGCTATGGTGTACAGTAGAGATTTCTGAATTAGTATTAAATGTGTTACTGCAGGTGCTGGGAGCAGTTTAGATGTAGTAGCATGAGGCTCCCATTGGGGTAATTTACCCTGCTTCTCAGCTAAATTAATTCTGGTACCCCAGGTAGCTTGGGTATATACACTGCACTGCAGTCTCCAGGGTGGACAGATCTCAAGAAGAAAATAGGGTTTTTAGTCCTTCACTCATCCTTCTTTTAGATATTCCTGCATATGTAGGGCTGCATTTGCAAGACAAGTTCCTGTAGACTTCAGCATCAATCAGAAATTTACATGGTACAATTCTGACCCCTTATCTCAGATGAGGCAATAAGCAAGCATGAAATAACCAAGATTTGGGGGCCTGATCTTCTCCCGCTTTGCCCCTGTGCAGGTAATGCCACCAGTATCAAGTGAAAACACTGCCATTCCAGTTGATAGGAAATGCTGTTGTGTTTTGGTGCTAGGCAAGGAATTCAGGTCCTCTAGGCTAGAGATCTGCATCTTTCCACCCATTTTTATAAGCTCTTATGCTTCTTTGTAAACATGAGATACTAAATCAAAATTATCATAAGCAGTATTTAGGAACTGCTTGCATGGTCTGTGAGTCTTTTACCTAGTCTCAACATTAAGCAATTTTTTATGAGCTAGTCATGCAGTGGACTTTGTGAAAATGCAAAGTCAAACAAATATTGCTGCCCCTCCTGTACAGGAACCCAGGGACAGAGAACAGTGAGTGCAGGAAGCTTCATGAAGTAAACAAGTGCCTTGCTCAGGGTGGTTACTCCTGTATGCCAGCACCCACAGTCACACACATACCACTCGGTGTGATTTGTATGATACAAGGTAAACTGAAAGTAATAACCTTAGATATACAATTTTTTATCACAGGCTGGGGTATAGAAATGAAGTACTGTATCTAGATGTGCATATATAATAATGGAGAATGATCATCTAAGAATGCCATATTTGCATTAACTTTAGCTCAGCCACCATAATGAAGTGTCTTTGTGCAATTGTTTCATTCAAAGGAGACAGTAATGCTTCCTTCCAGCATCTGGATGAACCCCCTTTCCCGATCACATGCATTACCAACCTGTTAGAACCTCACTTTCCTCATTTTCAATTGACTTGGCATCTAACAGGGTATACAGGTGCACTGGATCAATATCACTGTGCAGCAAATCAAGGAAGCTATTTTCTGTCAAAATTGAAGAATCCATGGTTTGTCTTTTGTTCCCTGAAGCCAAAACACAAAATGATGAACAGGATAATAGAGAACATTTTTAAAATGGTGACAACTTATCATTAAGCTCATAGCATTCACAACCTAAAGTCAAGTTCTGCTGTATACACAAACAAAGATCCTATAGCATTTTGTTTGCGTTTTGAAAAGGCAAATTGGGAAAGGCATTGAGTATCTGCTACTTGCATTGATTTCAAGATGCTGAGATCTTAAAATGGAAGGTACAGTAGGACCACCATCCAACCTAGAGGGCTAGTAAATCTTCTCCTGCCCTAACAAAAGACATATACCAACCATTCACATTTATAATACTCTCAGATTACTCCAATTAACTTCCCTAACAAAATTCTCCTTTTCTTTTCTTGTTTCAAGCACATTTGCAAATCCATCCTATTCTATGTGTTCATCATTTTTGTCAAGTGATTTAAAGAGATGTTACCTATCAGTGTTCACAATTTATTTGCTGTAAACCTTTATCATTTATTGTGGTATATTCATTTTTATTACACTGGCTGTATTTTGAAAAGTCTGTCAGTGGTAATTTGGGATTAAGATATGTCCCTTCTTGACCTGTTTTTAAAAATAAAGCTCACTAATAGATAAGTTATGAATGATGAAATGAAACAATGGCAATGAAATAATAAAGCACGGGATTAGAAAAATATCAGTGTTGATTTCTTTGTCTTCATAAAAACTGTCCAATTTAGATTATAGACACTTTCCTGAATTTTGACACTGTTAAAAAATTCCTGATGATATAACAATATAAAATAATTTTCTGGTCTCACAGTTTGAGAAATGATCTGAGGTCAGAGTGTTTTATCTCTTGGTCACTGGTCTGAATCTAGCCTAGGCTGGTGACCCATGTAATTTACTCTACCAATACATCAGGAAGCCACTGTGAAATGAATCAGCAGATCTCAGTTCAAACTAGATCCAAAAAGTGAGCACAACTCAGAATCATCTCCACTATCAGCTTGGCACTAAATGACCCACTTCTGGCAGAATCAGCAGACAGGCCAAAGACTCGGCAGACTCTTTGCCTTTGCCTATTGCGGGAGTATTAAAGATACAGCCTGTGGCCAGATCAGCCCCATAGAGCCACATTATTTGCCTGCTGGTGCTCCACCCATCCTGCTTGCCAGATCCAGTGAACACAGCACCTGCTTTAACTGGTCCAGAACATGAGCTGCACATGATGCACACTCCTGTCAGTCTGGGGTAAAAGCCACATGTGGTACCTGCTCTGGCCAGTCCAGGGCAAGCACTGCACACACCACAGGTCATGCAGTAGGTATGGCATGCAACAGTCCCAGACCAGCCAGGGTACGTGCAGGATCCAGTACTGGGGCCCATCCTGCTCCATTCCTTCAGCCTACGGACCATCCTGTGCCATTCTTCTGGCCCATGAGGCCTGATGGGTTTGAAACCCCTGCCCTATTCATTGTACCTACCCTGTGGTCACAGGACTTTAGTTTCTAGGCTGCTACTCCAATACCTTTGACAAACACTAAACTTTAAAACAGAGGGCAGCAATAATAGCTTTTGAATGGAAACTGTCACCAGAGTAGATTGGTATGTCCTCAGAACTGGTATGTTTTTCACTGATCATACAGGGCTGAGTAATCTATACATTCTACTGTTAGGGCTCATTCATCTTTGTATTAAGTGACTTGTATGGTAGGATAGATTGCATTGCAGATAGTATGAGAATAACAACACAGAGGGTGTGAAAAAAGCAGAAGGCATGAGTGAGTGGGGGATAGGACAGAGGAAAAAGTGAGAAGAGAGATCTAGTGACAAGGGAAACAATGGTGGTAGAAGAAAGTTTAATTCTATGATAGTCAGAACTTGTGGTAGAGGTGATATCTTTTATTAGACCAAATAGATATTTGCAAAAAAAAATCTTTATTTGCAAGCTTTCAGGCACACTCACCTGTCTTCAGGCATAGGACAATGCAAAGATTATAAAATTTCTCCTAGGTGGAAATGAAAATTCATATTTCACAGGAGCACTGAAGGTGTTGTAAGATCTCCTGGTTGGAAAAGTTCCTTTTGTGCCAATTAGGCTAAGATAAAAGTTAGAGCAGTCTATTTGCCTCAAAGTTGTCTGAAGGCGAGAAGGGTGTTGAATTATGTTTCCTTCTGAAACATAACCATAACATTTTTTGCAAATATCTAATTGGTCCAATAAAAAATATCACCTCTACCACGAGTTTTGATTCCTTTTGCCTGTAGACCAATATGGTTACAGCCTGTTTCCCTGATTCTAGGATACTGACATTCCATTCCTTATTTCACTGATGTAACACAAGAGGCCTGGGACAACTAAAAAATAGCCAGGGTTTCAGTATGGGGCGTATGGAAGAGGAATCAATGTATTTTTGTAGTTAGTAGCACCTGATGAAGAGTATGTGAAAGCAGGCATAAAGAAAGGTTCAGTGCACCATCCCATCTCACTAAGGACCTTGTTGTATGGGATACTTAACATGTGATAAATGCACTTGAAATGTGTTCAAGCAAGAAAATGTGCTAAGTGCGTTGTACCATATCATATTGTATTGTAGCAAAGTTACACTTTTTCCAGTGAAGAGTATCTCCAGATTGTATTAAATAAGAAAGTGTTGAGCTAACGTTGGTTTGCTCCATGGAGATAAAGTGATGGAGATGCTCCATGGAGATAAAGTCTTTACCTGGCTCCTGTGTGGTCCCCTGATTGAGACCAACAACTAGTTGATTATTGGTCCCAGCCCTAGGACTACCCCAGAGTCTCCAGCTGGCTCCGGTGCAGTGCAGTAGGATCCAGTAACTGAAGTAGAACATATGCAGCTTATGCCACATTATAGTTAGAAAGCATTATGGTGAGACTGCTCAAAATATGTTCTATGTTTAACGTGTCACGTGTCATATGCGACAGGGCCCTAAGATAGTACAGAAAAAGGCAGCTACAATGTGGTTCAGTGTAAAACCTCTCAAAAGAGAAGTATTTTAAGCAACTTTAAAACCGAAAGTCTTGTCCCCCCACCATATTTGAACTTTGACAAGCAAGTAGAAATATTATAAACCATTAGCAGTTCCCTACAGAGCCTAGTATGTGATAGAGCCATGGGTAACACCGCATGAGTAGCCTGGCAGCCCTGTGGCCAATAGCCATGTCCTCCCTGCCTCCTGCTGCAGAAGTCAGCAGAACCAAACTGAGTGTACATAGGTTGGTAGGCTAAACGTGCACAAAGGACTCTTTGTGTTATGAGTCTCTTTAGAAACACTATAAAGCTTTTGAAATTAATAACTCACCTACCACAGACTAACTGAAAGTGGAGAGTAAACTGAACTTTCATGTGAAACAGGAACAAGACAGAGAGTTAGAAAATAGAGCTTGTACTTTGTTGTTACAGTAAAAGCCACACATGCTATTTCTTCTGCTGAATTAATCTACTGCTAAACAGAGTTTTCCAGGACTTCACATGGAGGAGGAGCCCAGCATGTGTGGGTGAGGACAGTGGGGACCAAACAACAGGAAAGCTGAAATGAAACACAACAGGCGCCAAAAGCTTGTAAAGGAAGAGAAAGTGGATTTTCAAGACACTGCTCAAGAGAACAGATTAACAGCTATGTGGACTGGATCTCAAACAACTGGAGCTGCTTAGCCTTTGAGGGAAAGCTAAGCTAAGCTTTTGGTAAATCATATGTACATATGCAGGCCTCTGGCCATTTGATGCTTTCCTCTGAGTGCCACGTTCCTGCTAATAATTTGGACTATACACCAGATTCTCATGTTGTCATTATTCCAGACTTCTCATGTTGCCAGAACATTAAGAGAAAATGTGTGGTGTTGGAATAGCAAAACTACAAACTAAAGTCTTGCGGCCACAGGACAGGTACAATATAATAGGCAGAGGTAATACCAGTTTCCAGATCCTGCCCTGCAACGTGCCTCAGCTGCATCCTAGGAGGAAATATGGAGGGTGGAGGGCAAAATTCAGAGTGTAATTCTGCCTTTCTGTCTACGGAGTCTTGTTAAACTGTGTGTTAACAGTTTATTAAATGGATGTGTCCCTTTCTTGCAGGTTTTTTGGTAATCAGATGGTTTTTACCTTTAATAGTCTAAAGTGTATCTATCACTTCAACCAGACAAGGTTCTCTGGGTAAATGTTATATTGTTTATTAGACCAATTAAATAGTTGGAAAAATTGTTCTTTGCAAGCTTTCAGGCATAGACACCCTTCTTCAGGCATTGGAGAGAGTCTGCTGTTGGTTCAGGTACTGTCCTGTGTTAATTAGAAACCAAAATGCAAAATGCAGGTCTGTGAAAATGCAATATATCACTTCAATATATATATAATATATCACTTACTACAGTTTGCTACACATTCACATTTAGTGATATATGCAATATATCACTTCAATATATTTCAGTGATGGATGGTTATGTTTGCCACAAGAATTACTCAGCATCTGACATTCCTAATTTGAATGCTAGTCAATTAGGTTGGATTTTTTACTTTTAGCAGCCCTTTGAATGAAACAAACTGTAGTAATGCTTAAGACTCAAAACAGTTCAGTGTGTATCCAAATGAAAAAAAAGGATTAAAAAACACCACAGACACTTGATCCACACTATTTCTGGGCTCTAATACATACACTGATTGTGTTGGATCAGAGATCTGATGAAGAATGCCTTGTATTAGAAAGCTGGTCTAACTTATTCCCAACTACGTAGTTGGTTCCATAAAAGATGTCACTATAAGAAATCTTTGCCTGTCGCATGTGTTTGATCAATACATGCGATTGTGCAAACTCAGTCCATTTGCAGTACTTTTATAACTAATCACAAGAAACACGAGTCAAATCCTAAAAATGCCCTTTTAACTTTCAGAATTTCATATACACTTTTGGAAAGTGACTGGTTGGCAATACATAATGGAGAGAGCAGAGAGCATTGGAAGACCCGTTCCCATTCTGGGTAGTACTGATGGTTGGGTTGGTAATCCCTA